TTTTTACTCGCGGCTTTGCTCGCGTGGTCATATGTCAATTTGTTTAGGTTAGATTAATCAAACAACTTAGAAATCTGCAGATTTCTAAATTGTTTAATTAATTTAACTTAAGCAAATTAAAATGACACTAACTTAATGACAAACTGATCATTCCTATTTGTGTCAATTCATAAAAAATTTTACCTTAAAACATGGGCTACAAATGCTTCGAAATCTTTTTGGAATTGCCAATTCCTTGTTTGTAAATGAATCCAAAGGAATCCAAAAAAAGTTATGTTGTAATAATTTGGTCAAGAATCTAGATTTAAATAAATTAAAATGGATTTAATTTTTTATCCATTTTAGTCTATTTCCATTTTCTGGATGTTATACTTAACTTGCCTATCCAAATTCTGAAAAAAATATAGAGGTTAAATTTAAAAAATGTTATCACTTTTTCATAAATTTAGCTTCGAAATGCCTGGTTGTGCTGCACCATATTGTACCAATTCAGCCGCTAAAGGGTACAAAATGTGCTATTTTCCTACAAATCAGGAAAGATGTTCTGTTTGGGTTGCAAATATGCACAGAGACAATTGGACGCCAACTAAGTACTCGACGTTGTGTCAGGTAAATAATAATTTAATATTATATTTTGTATTTTGTTTGAGCTTGTATGGAAAATTACAACAGTAAGTTTTGAATTGCAAGGTCCATTTTGCGCCAGAGGCTTGGGAACAACATCGAGCAGATGGATTATTAAAATTAAAACAAAATGCTGTACCCACGTTGTTCGGTGAATTAGGTAAATTTCTGACAAGAAATTAGTTTACAGAATAGTAGAAAAAAAATTTGTCGTTTATTTTTTTATAATTACAATTTTATGAAAATACTTGAAAATAAAATTGAATATAAATATTGCCATTTTGGCTAGAAACTCATTGAAGAACAAAAATATGACACACTTGCCAGAGATTTATCTTTTATTTATATTTCAAACTAATTTACTTTTCAGTGTTTAATTTAATTTTATAAATATGCTGTCATTAATGTGTAATTATAATTTATTCTAGACATTTTTATTCAACTTATTATTTCTATGCATGTTATTTCACTATTAATCTCAGTTCCAGGTTCATCACAGCAGCCGTCTGTGTCGCCATTTAAAGGCTGCAATAAAATATGTAGCAGAACTCAAGAGAAGCAGTTTGTTGATGATTCACTGTTACAAAATACAGTTCCAGCTGCGCAAAATAATAATAAACTGAGTGAAGCCATATCGTTGGACCATGAAGATAGCGACACTAATGTAAGCAGTGAATCAACAGCATCTGAGAACGACAGAATATTTGTCAAAGTACAGAAGACAACCATTAGAACAAAGAAAAATACTCATACTGATGCAACTGAAAAAAATCGAAAAACTCGTCAAATGTTTTGAAAAGGCAGACCGACTTCGTCAAAAAAGTAAAAAAAAACTGCTTCAAGCAAAGCGCAAGATCAAACGTCTTGAGAAAGAAGTACATATTATGAAGAAATTTCCAGATACGCTTTGTAATGTGTTTAATGAAGACCACATGAAGCTTCTGAGTGGCGAGTACAAAAAAGTATCTTTTTGGTGCAATAAAACCTTGCAAAATGCGTACAGGTATAAATTTGCATGCGGTACTTCAGGGTATGAATTGCTAGTCAAGGAGTTGAAATTTCCTTCGGTAAGAACCTTAAGTCGACGACTTGAAAGCTTGAAATTCAATAGTGGTATATTGCATGAAGTTTTTGAATTTCTAGCCATAAAAGTGTCACAGTTTCAAAATGATTTTGACAAGCATTGTGGCGTATTTTTAGACGAAATGAGTATTACTCCAAGTAGTACTTATGATACGTCTACAAAAACGTTTTTGGGGCGTGTGACTCTTCCAGAGTCAAGTGAAGGAAATGCTACGCATGCTCTAGTGATAATATTAGGAGGTATCGCAAGTAGATGGAAGCAAATAGTTGCATACTATTTTACGGGAAGATCTCTAGACGGTTCGCTCTTAAAACCGATAATCTGTGATATTATTACAAAGGCCGAGGAAATTGGATTACGCGTACATAGTGTAACGTCTGACATGGGATCCGCGAATTTGGCTTGTTGGGCAGCATTTGGTATACAAGCTTCTCGATATTATACAATTTGTAATGCTTGCGAACACCCGTGTGGGGAAGATAGAAGGCTTTATTTCTTTCAT